GAGGAGACGGCATCGTGATCATCAAGGTCGTGGGTTCCGGATGCCCACTTACGACGGCAACGCCTCAGACTTTCTTCGTCGGGCTGTGTCCGGCCGATTCTCGTCATTACCTGCTTCCGACAGGCGACTTCAAGCAGGCCAACTGGTCAGATCAGGAGAACCCGAGGAAGATAGTAGTACAGCAGCGCAACGGAGCCACGCGCACTTCGACCAACAGTCATCACAAGAAGCGGAGAGAGTCTACTGGCATGGACGCTGGCTCCCTGACGCCGGCTGTAAGGGCGCCAGGTGCAGAGGGCGAAAGTGGCCCCGATAATTCTTCAGACATCGACGAGGAGATTTCAACGGAAGGATTGCACAATATCAGCACCGCACGACAACTGGCACCAGTACCAGTTCGAGAGCCTCCGGCCATGCCCTCAGCATCCGCATCGATGGCAACTGCAGCATTACCTACACCGCCGACGAGGACAACACCACCGACACCTGAAGACAGCGGCTCTTCTTTGGCACATGGAGCCACGCAAGCATCACCTCATCAAGGCCAACATCATGTCTGGAAAGGACTACCGCAGAACATCTTCTACAAGGCATGGATGGACTTTCCCGGTCAAAGATACTGAGTTGGCATTTGGCCTTAGCACTGGAACAGCAGACGTAAAATTGACGCGGAGAAACATGACATCTGCATGCCAGAAGAGTCCTACAACGGCAGCTGTCTTCCCGTGGTGACGCCCGCGAACGCGCCACAGTGGCTCGACCGCGCGATGTCAGCCATGGAGGTCAACATGCTTGGCCACAAGCTGAACATCCAAGAGTTCTGCTCAGGGCCATCACAACTTTCACTAGCAGCTCCTTATCTACGATTGAATGCAAGTTCCTCGGTTGACCACAGATACGGCTGGGACGCTGGCCTACGAGATCACCGGCACATTCTGGACGAGGTAAATGATGAGTTGACGATCTCAAGTCAGTCCTTCTCTCCCAGGCGCCCCCCCATGTCGAAGGCCGACACCGCGTCTAAGGAGGAGACGACAGCGCGAGCCCAACGAGAAGAACGGGCTGGACTTCAATGGCTGACCTACCGTTGTAGACAGATTCTAGATCCCAATGAAAAGTGCAAGGTTTTCATCCTGGAGACACCGCATGGATTACAGTTGCTCACGGAGAGCCCCTACGCATGCATTCAAAGGAATAAGCAAACGATTTCAGCAGCACTTGGTCAGTGCCAGCACGGAGCCAAAGACGTAGACAGCAGGGGCCTACCAAAGAAGAAGACGATCTTGGACTACGTGAATATCGAGATCAGTCAGTTTACCTCGTTGCACCGCACGGGCGAGACCAAGCGCCCTTCGCGTGGCGAGCTTTCTGGAACAATCCCAGGCACCAGTACATGGAGGACATCTTCGGCAGCAGTCTACCCTTGGAATCTCTGCACGGCTATCGGCACTGATGTATGCCCCCTTACTCGTGGCAAAGGCGATTGTCTATCATTGCTGGTTTTCTGGATTTGCGACCGGTGCAAGCATGGAGCTCGTTACCCTGGTGCTGACACGAGAGTCACACCAGTCGATACTCGAGCAGAAGGCTGCATGTTCAGGGATACGGTTGCACCATCACGGGCTGTTGCTGGAGCACCTTCAATACCTGCGCCAGCTCAAGCTCCAGCACCAGCACCTCTACCCCCAGAAGCACCAGTTCAGCCGGCTGCGGCGGTACCACCTCCACTACCAGCTACGGCGCCAGCGGAGCGCGATGCCCCCAATGGCAGCAGCAGCAGTTCGGCACAGGCACCTCCAGAGCCTAGTAGCACCACCTGCGGCACCCGCTGAACCATTCGACGACAAGCCCATCGATGGCGTGCCTAAGGTTGCCGACCTTCCTGAGTACATCGAGCCACCCTTCAACATCAGGACGCTCAGACGGAAGCTTGAGGATCCCAAGATTTCAATGACGGAGGCCCAGAGGTTGATGATGGGACTTCACTACAAGATGCGGCACCTTCCGGCCAGTGAGATGGCCATATTCCTGGGGCGCGGCAAGTTCGCAAAGCACGTGATTGAGTTAATACCAGCAACGATAGCCAAGCGCAAGATATGTCCGGGATGGAGAAACATTCTGACCAAGCCGAAGCCAGCAGGAACCATTTCGGCAATGCATTTCAATCATCGAGTTCAGACGGATATATTCACGCTCTGGGGCCGGATGTACGTCATCTTTGTGGACGAGGCGTTCCACTGGGCGCGCTGCGAGCATCTGATCACCAAGGATGCAGAGGCCCGGCACCAAGTCTTCCTGAGATGTTAGGCACGCTATTTCGGACATCCCAAAGTCATCGTGTCCGACCAGGAGGGCGGAGCGACCAGCGACGCCATCGGCAAAGCGCGCGAGGCCTACGACATGGAGCGGGACGTTCAAGGATCAGACGGACACACTCGAACCAGCCCGGCTGAAGGGCGACTCGGCCTCGTCAAGCTCGCAGCCTTCAAGCTCCGCCCGCAGGTACAGAAGCAGGGCATCCGCAAGAGCCAGGACGATTGCGTCATCGAGGCGCGTTTGTGCTCCAATTCTGGTCTAGTCTACGGGAGCTCGACACCAAACCAGGCTCTCTTGGGCTATGAGCCACGCGACTTCTATCGTGGCGACCTCGGCTACCAGTGATGCGAAGCTGGGAAATCCAGACTCGATTGAGTCTCAGATCCGCTTAAGGTTGCACGCGAAGGACGCCATCATCCAAGCAGTTACCGAACACCGCATTGCAGAGGCAGCGAACACCAAGCCGCAGCAGTACTCGCCAGAGACGCTCAAGAAGATCGAAGAGCCAGAAGCTAAGGTGGATCTTTGGAGAGAACCAACATCCAAGGATCAGAGTGGATGTCGCGGCCCAGCTGAGATGGCCAAGTGCATCAGTAAGGAGAACAAGGCCATCATCATCTGGCGAGGCCATCCGATGCTGGTTCCACCACGACATGTTCAACCTCATATCGGTTTCGCGTGGCTGACCCAGATCAGCACAGCGACCAGCGACACCAACAAGCAGCTCATTGCTTCGCTCATGGACCAGGTTGAGGACCTCGTTCTTGGGCAAGTTTGAACTTACGGCAAACAATGGGATCAACAAACACAGCAGTACATCAATGTTCCTGAGGACTTGGAGGAGCGACCTCCTGGCATCTTGGCAGACGCTCGCCAAGCAGCTCAGGAATTGCTCAATCTAAGCATCGGAGTCCAGTTCGGCTACGGCGTGAGACACACTGAGCCCCTGACCAACGTGGACTGTGGACGCCTCATGCAGTGGACGCATCAGCTGCGGGATCAGTATACGATTGCACACATCAGGCCAGGCAGCAAGGTCTCACTGGTTTCACGAGGCAGTCAGTCAGACAAGTGTTTTCTGGTGGCATATCAGATTTCGGGATGGCACTGCTCTTCCTGATTTGAGCCCGATGTGGGGCCCATCTACAGTTCCATGGACTCCAGCACCATTCGACGACGACAGCATGATTTACATCCCGAGTCCGCCGCAACAGCCACCACCAGCAGGACCTCCTGCACCGCAAGCTTCGGGAAGACCGCCTCCATCGCCGCCGCAGCAGCCGCAGCAACTACCTGCAGCACCGGGACTGAACGGTACTATTATGACATCTCCATCGCTGACGTATAACCCTGATCAGAGCATGGAACAGCAGGCATCGACAAAGCCGCCCGCGCCTCCACCGGGATTTTTTCCAGCTCCAGCGGCGAAAGCTACGGGGCCAAAGTCTCTTGGCGTGGACAGGTCACGGACATGGGTTGAGCGATATTTGATTTCATCTCCACCATGCTATATCGCAGTCACCAGTTCGACCACCAGGTGATCCACCGGAACCTGGAGCAGCGAAGGTCAAGGCACCAGCTTCGCCAGAGCTAGGCAGATCACGATCACGAGTCTATCAGCTACCACCAGAGTTCCCTCGACCTCCAGGTCCGCCTCCAGCGAAGATGACTATTTCTGAGAGTCCGATTGCAGAAGTTCCAAAACAGTTTACTCCAACGTCTACCTCATCAAGTTCAACGGCGTCAGCGGTAGACAGATCCAGATCAAGAATCATAGAACGTCCGGCATTTCCATGGCCAGTACCTCCTCTACCAGTTAATCCAGCAGGAGCAAAGGTGAAGTCACCAGAAAGCGCATCGAGCGAAAGGTCAAGGACGCGCGTGGAGATCAAGAAGGTGGAGATCGATGGAGCTCCTGAGAAGAACCTCCTTCATCCTGAGTCACCTGTGGCAAACCCAGGACAGCCAAGTGCGGGACCTCTTGGTCGACTACCAACTTTACCTCTGGCACATCCACCTCCGACGCCGGTTGTGGAACAGCAAGGACAAGATGATAGGCCAGCGCGGACTGGACCATCACCAGCATCACCGAATCAACAAGCAGGCACTGAAGGAGCACAAGAGCCAGCAGCAGCAGCAGCAGGGGCAGCTGACTCAGCGGCAGAAGTTACACTGGAATATCCACCAGGATCTCTCGACGACACGATCGAGTACCCAGATGGAGCAGCTGATGACACCATCGAGTATCCAGACGGAGCCGCTGACGATACCATGGAGTATCCAGAAGAAGCTTTGTTCTCAGTGGCACCTCCATCATGGTACCAGCATTGTGCTAAGATGTCCAAGGTCGACAAGATGCAAGCAACACCTCATGCAGCAGAGGACGCGGGCAGAGTTCAGAACTGGCTTACCTCTACGAGGGCTGGCTCAACAGCTTGGACGGCAC